CACACACACACACACACACACACATTCCCCCTTTATCTTTGTGGATCACTGTGAAGTTTGTGGTTTTCCGAGAAGCAGGTCCAGACAGACTCTTCATGAGCAAACAAACACGCAGAAGTTCATACAAGTGTCCAATCTTGTCTTTTTGTTGACTCAGATGATTTTGATTTTAAGGTGTGTTTTGTCTCTTGATTTTCATTTTTCCTGGCACAGCTCACACAAAGCAGAGTAAATGTTACCGAGAACTCAAACAGAAACAAAAGTGGTTTTTTTTTTTACTTAAAGCAGCAGCAACCTAGTTCCTTTTGGCTGTAATTGTGTCGGGTTTTTTTGAAAGTTTTCAGAGCTTTTAATCCAAATTAACTTRGTGTGACAGTTTTCTTTTTCTTTTTAAAAAGAAAAATACATTTACAGTTTTTTAACATATATTTATTCATTTTTGATTTATAACAAGACCATAAGAACAATTTACAAATACATAATTATATCTTCAGACTAAGCAAAAACATACACAAATACAGGGGAGGAGAAAGAAAAAAAAAACAGCAGAGCCATTAACAGACCAATCAACATAATATTCAATTTGTCTTACCACATGAACTTATGACAAGTCCTCTTTCCACGAGTCAAGTTGGATATTATTTTGGACCAGCCAAGTGTAAAAGACAGACCAGATTTCCCAAAATTTCTCCAGCTTGTTCTTAGTGAAATAGCTTATTTTCTCAAGGGCAAAGTAAAAGGACATTTGTTTAAGCCATAATGTCTCTTTTTTCCATGAGGATGCGATACATCGTTTAGCTTCCAAAAAGCAAATATTTAGCAGGGATCTCAAGTTGTTTGAGGTAGCAAAGTCTTCAGGATAAATATAATTTAAGATACACATTTTAGGATTTAAAGGAACCTCTTTCCCAATCAACTGACCAACCACTGTCAATACAGCCTTCCAAAAAGCCAACACTCAATGGCAGCCCCACATGCAATGAAATAAAATCCCCTTCTGGGAAGGACATTTAATGCAAGTGTCAGGAATATTAGGGTTGAAGTGATACAATCTAGCTGGAGTGATTATTCTCTAGTCAACCATTTGTACTRTAATAAATTAGAATTTATGTTGGCAGACTGAATGTGAATCAGAGTGTGTGCTTCTGACCACTCTTTGCTCGACAACACTCTTTGCTCGACAAAGTTTCCCCCAAATCTGATTCCCAAGCTCGTAGAATGCTGGTTGAAGATTCCTTACATTTGTCAATAGTTAGGGAGTAAAGAAGAGACACCTTTCCTCTATCGTACATACTGTTTTTACATTAAAAATGCACCTTATTTCATGCTTTAGTTTATCTTTTATTATTGTGTTGTCTGTGCTTTCAGTTCAGAAAAAAGTCAGAATATATGTTAATAAAAATACAATTTTGGATGTTACTTTTTAAAACAAGTCATATTTATATTGATATATTAATATCAAATCATGGAATTATTCAAACTGGAGATTTTTTAAATAGAAGTTATTTTAAGTCATTCATTCATTTTCTGCCGTCTAGTTGTCATAGGTGGAGACGAAAACACAACTTGGTGATTTTTATTAATTTAAAATCAAGAATAATAGACAAATCTCATATGACTGAGACGTTTCCTACTGTCATAGTGAGTTATCAAAAATGGTCTCCTATAATGGTAATAACGAGATTTTTACGGTCACAATTGCTTAAATTATTTTATCACATCTCTTTTTATGTAGGCGTGGCTTCAGCAGTATGGCTACCTGCCTCCAGGTGATGTAAGAGCCCAGTCCCTCCGCTCACCCAGGACCATTGAAACAGCGATATCGGCCATGCAGAGGTTTTATGGACTGACCGTCACCGGCTCCATCGACACCAACACATTAGAGTGAGTCCTACTGAATCACTCCACACCTGCTTTGAAACTGTTTCATCGAAATCCTTCGAGCAGTTTGTGTACTTTACGTGAAACTGAGTGCATTATTCCGTTGGTGTCAGAGCGATGAAGCGGCCGCGGTGTGGCGTCGCAGATAAGTTTGGTCCAGAGCTGAAAACCAATCTAAGGAGGAAAAGATACGCCAGGCAAGGTCAGAAGTGGGACAAGACTGAGGTGACATTCAGGTCAGAATACACAGTTTTTCTGTTGTGATATTTATTTATTGTACAAACAAAACATTTACAGAATTTAAGGCTTCAGCTGATAATTTACTCCAGTGGTTCCCAGATCTTTCAGGCTTTGACCCTCAAAATACCAGCAGAGACCTGATCCCCCAACTGTTGTTGGATTATAAAAATTGTTTTCACATGAAAAAAAATAAAAGCATAACAGTATGCATTATGCTATTTTTGTCCACTAACCTTACTCTTTTGTAACAACAAAGGCAAAAAAATGTTAGCTATTACTTTCTGAAATAATTAATTCAGAAAATCTTCTCAGGACCCCGCCTTGATGTTTTGGGACCCCATTGTGGGTCCCGACCACAACTTTGGGAACCACTGACTCTGTCTAATTGAAATACTTGGATTATTGCTACAGACCAGTTTTCAGTTTGGTATTTTATCTTAAAAAATGGCATAGAAATAAATCTTTACTTTTTCTCTGTTTTCCCTGCTTACAGCATAGAGAACTACACGCCCAAAGTAGGAGAACGAGYAACGTTCGACGCCATCCGGAAGGCCTTCAAAGTGTGGGAGAGCGCCATCCCGCTGACGTTCAAAGAAATCCCTTTCAGTCAGATCAGAGGCAAAGTCAGCAAGTACGCAGACATCATGTTGTCCTTTTCAGAAGGTTTCCACGGGGACAGCACGCCTTTTGACGGTGAGGGTGGCTTTTTGGCGCACGCTTACTTCCCCGGTAATGGCATCGGGGGCGACACGCACTTTGACCTCGCTGAACCGTGGACCACGGGAAACGTGGATCAAGGAGGTAGGAGATGGTGAAATAAAGAATGACTGGCATTGCCGGGTTAATTTCACCTCTCATTCCTCACCATTTTCTTTTCCTCTGTCTGAAGGGAATGATGTTTTCCTGGTAGCGGTCCATGAGTTGGGTCATGCTCTGGGCCTGGAACATTCTGACAACCCTTCTGCCATCATGGCCCCTTTCTACCAGTGGTTTGATACAGAAAACTTCCAGCTTCCAGACGACGACCGCAGAGGCATCCAATCTATTTATGGTAAGTAGTACTGGTTAAAGCAGGGGTGGGCAGTCATTTTTTTCTGGGGTCCACATGAGAAACTTGAGCTATGTTGGAGGGCCGAAACCAATAACACATTGTACTTAATTCTGCTTAATAGTCATTTTTTTCACCAATTGTTGAAAGCAGTAAATTCTATATTTTGATCAGCTGCTACTGCTAATTAGGACAAGAATATGCTGATATATATACATATATATCAGTAAAAAGAACAATAATGTTTCATTTTATTTTTAAAGTGCCTGTGACATGAAATTTTTGAAATAAATATAAATGCATTATTGGAAAGACAACATTAATAACAAATTTCAGAAATAATTTCCTGTTGCTCAGATCAACAGTTGTTGAGATATTTGAATGTGAAGCAACAGGAAGTGATGTCACAGGGGTTTATCCGCTTGTGAACAGAGCAATGATAAAATGGCTAACGACACAGAGTGCAGAGAAGATTTTGATGTTTCTTTATATTTTGAGTCATTATCAGAGAGGTGAAGAGACAGAGTTCAAATAAAATCATTTCAATAAACAAAGACCACAGAGTTTTCTTACTTAGAGTTCCCCTTTGATGTCACTTCCTGTTTCACTTTGGCTGAGCCAAGTTTAAGAGAAAATATGCCAGTTATGTGACAAAAAGGGTAAAATCACATGTATTATGCAAGGTTTCTTTAATAAAAAGGTGTTTTCTTTTACTTTTTGTATTCGACGGAGTCATGTCCCAGGCACTTTAACATGAGAGTCTTCACAAACAAATACWAAAACTGTTTTGCAGTATGGTATCAAACTGTTACGAAAAGCAATAGGTGTTTTTAATGCTTTTCAGTTCATTTTACTTGTTCAGTGAGAAATATCCACTCTATAATCGGGCTTTAACAAGTGTGGATCTGTGTCTGGATTTATTAAACTTCACCACTGAGAATGTCTGTTCTCAGTGGTGTAGAGAAAGAGGACTGATGTAAGAGCTGCTTTGAGTGGTTTTTTTATAATAAAAAAATGTTTTTGTTTCTTTTTGGCGAGCCGGACAGAAGTCACCTGAGGGCCGCATATGGCCCACAGGACGCCATTTGCCCACCCCTAAGTTAAAGTATAAAATATTAGAGCGGCATCATTTTTACAGGAAGTGGGTAACAGTCTGACTTGAAGGATTCAGTTTACATTTTTACAACAAAACCAGAAATCAAAGATGTGTGTTTGTTCAAATAAAGTTTGCACTCTACATATCATGACACAATAAGACATTAGTGTGTGCAAGCCAAGCATTTTCACTTCTCTCTTTTAATAAAACTTCCACAACAGGAACAAAGTCTGGAGTACCTCCTCCTCCTCGTCCCACCAAGTCATCCAAGCCCAACATACCAGACAACGGCCCTGACATATGTGAGGGACACTTTGACACCATYGCCATCCTCAGAGGGGAAAAATTTGTGTTTAAGGTACAGAAAACTAACACCCAATCTTTGCAGTGATGATTCCTRTAGTGTAATTGACCAAAAGTGTGTGGTACATTTAGTTTAGTTGTGAGTTGATTGGTTAACTTGCTGTTTGTTTATGAATAAAGCTGAATACGTGTGTTTGCAGGACAAGTGGTTCTGGCGTATTCGTAACAACAAGGTGTTGCCTGGGTACCCCAGAGTCGCTGGTCAGTTTTGGAAAGGCCTCCCTGCAAACATCAACGCTGCCTACGAGAGGGAAGATGGGAAGTTTGTCTTCTTCAAAGGTAGGTTCCATCTGGGATGAGGGCAAAAAGCAGGTCTGGGGTGAATACATTCCTGCATTCCAATCTTCTCCATCAATGTTCACGTCCAGGCGACAAATACTGGGTTTACAGCGAGTCCACCATGGAAAAGGATTCTCCAAAGAGCCTGAGGGATCTGGGAACCGGTCTACCTAAAGACAAGATTGATGCTGCTCTTTTCTACACACCAACAGGACAGACATTCTTTTTCAGAGGAACTGAGTGAGTCCATGCTCGCTTTGCTGGTTGTACGTGTAAATCACAGAAATAGAAACATTTAAGGACAATCARTTACAGCTAAGGTAATTGTTCTCCCTGCTGTTAGCGACACTACAAAAAGAGATGATAAAAAATAAGCTCCAGATCCGGCAGCCTCTTAACATGACCCCCGCCCGCATGCGAAGCGTAAGCGGGAGTCATATTGTTTCGTACTGTTTTAGGTTTTTTTGTTTGTTTGTTTGTTTG